ACCTTTTCTTATTATAGTTTGTTGTTATTACAGCTCTTGGGAGTCAAGGCAACAGCAATATTTTGCTGGGAAATAAATCAGTATATGCATGTGAGATGGGCCAGAGATGTGTTGGAAATAGGTGGAGTTCTGTAGTCAAGCAGGCAGGGCTGAAAACACATTTAAAGTCTATCTAAACCCCAAAATAAATAACAAAAAATTATATATTGTAGCATTTCAGTTCTTAGATGTGGTAGCATTAGCTTTCATTTTTCAGGCTAAAAACATTTTCACCAATTACAGAAAATATTTGTTGATCTTCCCAGAAATGCATTCACTACATCTAAGCTGCAATAAATAAGGCCACCTCTGGGATAACTGCCTTCTTGTTTGCATATGTACCTCTGCCTATGCACACATCCACCCCATACAAAGAATGGCTGCATGAATTGGAAATTATGTATATTACTAGCAGTGATATCCTCAGCTTGTCAGCTGTTCCTCAACTAGCCATGGGAGCCAACATAAGTTTCTGCATTTTTATTGTGACTGCCTGTGCCATGATTCCTGGTCATTGTTTCCTGCCTGTGGGTAATAGGAGGAGTTGTGGGAGGAGCTGGGAAGAGGTGAGGCAGAGCTGGAACAGCGCAGGAGGGCTGAAGATAGTGACATTAGAATAATCCCTCCGACACTCTTTATCACAGAGGAATGAAAACTGCACAGGGGGGGCAGTGAGGTGGTCGGCCCTTCTGAAGAACAAGCAGGTAAAAGTGCCTGGGTTTTAGGGAGTATATGGTTTTATATTCAGACAGTATATTTGCTTTTAAGTGGGTCTACTTTTTAGAACACATTCTATACTGATCAGCTTCCTCTCTGTGTGAAAAAAAAACCTAAACTGAAATGGAATTGGGAATTTCTGGCCTGTTTTCTCAAAGGTCTCAGTTGATCGTGTTCCCAGTACCTCTTGGGTCTTCCCTGTGTTTTAAGAGCTGCCATCCCAGGCCCATTGTAACTTGTTCTTGTCTGCACTGTAACTGCAAGCAAGACCTGGGAACAAGGAAGACACCTGCTGCACATACCACTTTGTTGATTATTGTGCTCTAGGCCTTTCATGTAATCACTGGGAATCACAAACTACTGAAACAAGCCAGCCCTTTCTGAATGTAGCTAGGTCTTGGCTTGTGGCAAACAGAATCCACATGTAGAGGGATGCTTAATGCAAAATCTCTTTTTTCATTTTTGGTCTGGAGGTACAGTATATGTTCACAACACTGTAAAGTAGCCACTGCTCCAAGCTCACTTCTGTGGAGGACTACATTCTCAATACAAATTAGTAAACTAAACATAAGATTGTAGTCTATCACAGGAGTGAGCGTGGAGTGGTGGCTACTTTACATCACACATAAGAACCATGGGGAACAAAAGTAGCCACCCTCCAGAAGGAAGGACAGTGTCAGCACCATTTCAGGGATAATTTGAGGCTCTACAGCCCAATGATACACACATACACTACATTTTTGTTAATAGCTAGGGTACTGAAATACATTTTTAAGATTTTTCTCTTGAGTTTAGTGTCACTTTAATTTTGGTTCAGTGTAATATCACCATGACACTTGGTTGTGTGTGTATGTGTGTATCCAGCTATTCAGCATATGCACCAGGAAGACAATCCCCCCTAAAATAAAGTAATATTTAAAGCTTATATTATACAATTTTAACATATTGAATTTTAGACTTGTTTGCCCCTTATAATGTGTGAGAGTACCGGGCTACCATTGCTGCATTAAAAAAATAGCAGATTGTTCAATGATCTTATGGGAAGATTTAAGTAATTTGATGTTTTCTTACATCACATGCTAAAATGTAAATTCAAGTTCATTTACGATCACAGATGGTAATTTTTCCACCTCTAAACAGTCAAACAAAATATTTTTTGGCCTTGTCCTTTTACCCCTTTTTCTGTTTATCAAACAGACGAAGATTTAAAAATACCTCACACTTACACAGAACAGCGTGTGCCAGCTGAACTTCCAAACTCCTAGTAAACATGTGTTTTTTATTGATAGTACTATTGCCAGCAGAATCACATAAAGAGTGTCATGACCACTCATGATATTACTATCTACTGTCTTTAGTTAGTGAGGGGATGAGATATTAACACAGGGTTTATAATATCAATAACACATAGGCCTAAATACTAGAGTCTCTCCCATCCTATGGAACTCTCTATCCCAACCTGTCCGTCTATCTTCCACGCTGACTGCTTTTAGGCAATCCCTTAAGACTCATCTCTTCAAAGAAAGCCTATCCCACCTCAACCTAACCACTGAACTATCACTTTCTCATACAATTCATCCCAACACAGCTACCTCCTCATGTATCACTTGCCCCTCCCTTTTAGATTGTGGGCCCTCCTTACCATCTTGTCTTGAATTGTATTGTGATTGTAATGTCCTCCTTATATTGTAAAGCGCTGCACAAACTGTTTGCGCTATATAAATCCTGTATAACAATAATACATGGTGTGAGCTATTTTAGCAACCTCGGAATTTATAGTCCTGCTAATCCAGTCTTGCGATCCAGACACTCCTGTTCAGATGGTTCTGTATGTTGTACGTTGTAGAACATGCTGCAGACAAGCAACATATCCTTCTCCAAGAACCCCTCCAGCTTGTGATTAGATGATGCTGGAGCAGCAGCACAATGATGAGGTTGACTCTGTGCTCTTCACTTCTGTAAGCATACCTGTACAAAGTAATAAAGCTATGGTTGGCTTAAGGTTTAAGATTTACAAGAGACTGATAATAAGACGGAATTACTTGCTTATGCTAGTAAAAATACATTTAATTAATGTGTGAACTCATCACTGGATTAAACAGCATTACCTATTTATGAAGTTTATTTAGATTTAACCTATTTAGATTGACCATACAATCTTTGTACAATCCATTTTAGGTATATCAAAACTATGTAACGGGTGGACCTTCCTAACATATCCAAAAAGGCATTCCTTTGCACTACATAGTTGTTGGTAGATTTGAAGGAGTATGTACAGTCTGATTGTAAACTTTTGGGACTATAAAAATCCTGTGTTGTAATTGTAACGTGTGTGTGGTGAGCTTAACTACTTGCTGACCGCGGTGTTAAACCCCCTTCCTGTCCAGGCCATTCTTTTAGTATTCAGCGCTGCAGTACTTTGACTGACATTTATTCAGTCATGCAACGCTGTACTGAAATGAATTTTATATTTTTTTGGGGGGACAGATAAAGCGTTCATATGGTGGTATTTAATCACCACTGGGGTTTTTATTTTTTACTGTATAAAAAAAAAAGTTCAGAAAATTTAGAAAGAAAACCTGTTTTCCCTAAGTTATTTATAAAACATTTATTAGTACCCAATTTTTGGGTAAAATATAAAAGATGGGGTCATATCAGGGAAATAGACACCAAACATGTCGAGCTTTAAAATTGCATGTGGCTGCAAAATCGCAAAATAAACTTCCATACCTAAATTTGGCTGTAGGTGATGCTTTAAAAGCTTTTATCACTCATCAATTTAGTGTCATCAGTGATTAATGGCCCTAAAATTATTGCTTGCACTTCGACATCTACGGTGATATGTAAAATGTGTGGCGTAATCGTTGTTTTCGCATGTAGGCGCACCTGGCACGTATTTACGTTTATATGTGCGTGCAAGTAGGAGAATGTTGATCGATCTCTCTCTCTCTCTCTTTACAGTGTGAGCAGCCTCTGTGCCGGTCTCCGGCATGCAGGGGGGACAGCGGAGCCGCGATAAGCGGCAGCAACGGTGGCGCGGGGGAGCGCGGCAGCAGAGGGAAGGGGGGCCACACGATGTTTGTTGTCATACAAGCGATCGGATGACTGTACAGCCGCCCAAACACTTGTATGTAACAGTCGGTACCAGCTGTTTACATGCACAGCAGGATTCTGCTTCGTAGCGTGTGCATATACGTCCACCCGCTCAGAAGAGGTGCAACTGAAACCAAACTTTTTATGTTAGCCTTGGAAAGAGTGGAGAGGGACAGGGGTTATCCCTATCCAAAACTTAAAAAACAGTTTTGTCTTCAGTTCTTCAAGTTTATACCTTTTTAAACTAATGTATTGTATCTGTTTGGACTGTATATACAGTATACAATCTTTCTTTTACAAATAAACATTTAATGTAATACAAAGCATTCCTAGAGCACTATGGAGTTTTCTAAAGAGACAGCACAGCCACTGAGCCACTGCTAAGATTCATTCGCTTGTGTTTGTACATTTCAGCTTGAACTCTTTTTAAACAGGTGGTAAGAAGAGACTGAAAAAGGAGCCTAATGCTCACCCCGCTGTCTGGATATATACCATTGGAAAATGTTCATTTACAATATTTTAGATTTACCTGAAATAATTTTAAATGTTTTTAATGCTGACCATAATAAATTAAGAAGGAACATTTACAATTAATTTAAGCTTACCCAAGTAACCTGTGCTCACTCCATGCAACCACAAATGTGCAGATAAATTTCCTAATTTGTTTAATTTGTTTATGTTCATTTTTTTATATTTACAGTAAAGACATGCACTACCATGTGTAAATGACCTAAGCCTTCTAATAATTCTAATTAATATTTTTAATTCTGTTAGGCCAGTGTTGTCTAGTCCTGTGTCTACTGTTTGTATATAGGACTTTATAAGAGTATCATCATTCTGTTGGGGTTTTTGTTCTCTTATACTCCGATAAACAGCATAAGACCCTCCCCCTCCAGCACCTATTGCCTAAAAGCGTATTAGGCTGGTAGCATTGTGGTAAGCAGTAGAGCCTGAGTGACTTGATTTCTGCTGTTGTGGGATGATAATACAAGGAGACAATTACTATGGCAGTATTTTAAAATGAGTTTCTGAATGAATTCATGCATTTTCATTACAAAATACATAAAGAGATAGATAGTGTTTATATTTTGTGTGGAGTTTCACTTTAAATTTGACATGCTTGGCCTGATTCTGTATTTTTTCTGTTACAGGTCTCCGCATCAGTGCGTACATTGTAAGACAAAATAAACGAAGAAAGCACCTCTCCCTATCTCTTATACCAGTTCAACGACACACTTGAGAGGTCCAGAACAGCAAGCCTGTCTGATTGTTTTGTCATCTGGCCAAAATTTTTTAAACCTAATTTTCTTTTTCAAAATAATGGTTCAAAAGGGAAAAAATAATGTATGCTGCATATGTGCCAAGGAAAATGTGTTTTGCCTTGAAACGAATTCAGATTTTGCCAATAAAATATTCTTGTTGGCAGGTGAGAATGAGCAGAAAATGCTAGAATGTAAATAATACACCTTAGCAAAGAACAGCATAGTTAATTAAATGGTTTTGACCTAATGATTGTCACTCTCCTACATTCTAATGGAGTTAAGGAAAGGAAATGTGATTTGTAAATATATTTTAAACTCTGTATTCTGAGGATTAAATTAACACAAGTGAACTAATATTCTGAAAGCAAAATAGCTTTCGTCAGTCAGTGTGGGCTTACAATGTTAATGACAAATAACATAATGACATTTTAAACTTTACAAACTCTATCTTTTCTAAGAATCTGATACTAGCGTAAAATTAACAGTGTTGAAACAAATTAAGTTATACAGGATATTGAAGTACCCACTGTGTTCAGTGAGAAATATATATTTTTTGTTGCTATGAAGTAAATCGGGATATAATGGTCACAAACACAGCATGCTCTTTGTTAGCGTGCAGCATAGTTATGACTTCATCTGTCTTTTCTAAATTTTCTCATTGTTTTAGTCAGTAAACCCGTGCACCAAATTATCTTTGAACACATCACCATTATTGAGATTTATGTTTCATTGCTATCATATGGTTGTATGTGTTCTTATATTAGCAACTATGGACAAAGCCTAGTAGGTATAGAGGACACCATGTCTCTATAATGCTCTCTTTCAGCTGCCATTGGTAATTCCGGATAAAGACTCTGTCTGTGCTGCTGACCATATACTTATTTTGTTGTATGAGATCTATTAGGAGATCAATGCCGTGAACACAGCTCATATGTTCTAACTACAATTTTCTCAAAGAAACGAGCAAAAGGTATAGACATATGTTTTATGGGAAGTTTAATAGACACTCTGTGAATTGTTTATAAACAATTCACAGAGCCATTGGCCCATAATTCTCTGTGAATGATCATTCTGTGTGAATAGATGCACCAAAAATGTTCTTAAATATTATCTGGGTTGTTTATTATGCTTATAAAGAGTTTTAGGGATCTATTTTTACAATGTTTGCAGAGCCATTGGCCCTGCTAATCCCTGTGCAAATTAATGCACAAAACAAATATTCTTAATATTTTTTTTATTAAAGGTTGATTGTATTTTTGAATGTCATTATGTAATACTGAATTATAGCCACCAGGTGGTTCTGAGGAGCATAGGGAATACATAATTATTTCTTGTGCTCCTCAGCTGTATCTAGTGGCTATATAGCGGTATTACAAGATTACATTCAACATTGCAATCAACCTTTAATTAGAATTTGTTTTGAGCTATAATTCGCACAGGGAATCACGGGGGCCAATGGCTCTGCAATTTTGTTTTAAAAATCTAATTTGCACTCTTCTTTAAACTTATGTCTGTCTTTTAAAAACTGTTGCTGTTAGTCAAGTCCATCTAACACTACTCCCTCCACAGGTGGAAAATGCTGCTGTCCAAGGATGGTTTAATTTTTCCACTGTAGTGAAGCCATCCTAAGACAGGAAGTGTGTTACTGGCCAGATCACTAGTTAAAAATAAAGGGAAAAATGCATAAAAAATATAACAAATGCAGCCACCACATTTAAGGATTGGTAAACTGCAATATATTTGTAATTTTGTTTGTAGGTATAGATACACTTTAATTTGAGTTACAGCTGTATAACTCCTGCTCTTTTTAACATTTTTCTCATGCAATTTACCATTGTTAAGACAGATATAAGTTATATACTTGAGTATACATATATCATTCTCATAAATATTGTTTGTGTAGCATTTTGTGTTCAGGGTTATATGTTATAGCTCTACTATAGCATATTATGCACAGGGAAGGATGAGACAATATTACACTTAACATATCTTAAAGTAATGATGTATTACCATTCATCTCATACTCAGAATGTAGTATTCATGTTAGATGTTTCCATTTGTCAGGGTAGGTCCTCTCGATTATTTTCACGTGAAAATTGTACCTTACCTAGTTGTGATACTTGAACTCATAGCAAAATGATCTTGCAGTGAGTGTTTTATACAGCAGAAATATTCAACCTCTGTCTCCACAGCTGTTAAGCTACAGGCGTCATGTCCTGACATCTCTGGCAATGCATGCTAGAACTTGTACATCCAGAACAGCCGTAGAGCCACAAGCTGCCTAATACTTTTAGAGCATATCACATTTTTTATCCTTCTGTAACCTGTGTTTTTATGTACAATGATATCACTGCATTGAGTAATGGGAGTGTGCCCTTGCTTAGAGTAATGTAGTTATATCTTCAGTGATGTGTTACTGGATGAAAGGAACATACTGAATTATAAATAATAATGTACTAACACGGACATTTATTTTAAATATCTGATTCTAGAGAGCTTTGCTTCTGTTTGGATCAACTGTGTTTTTAGGCTTCATTCACACTGACACTCTTGCATTTAGCTTTTATAGAAACAGTAGACGTTATCTGGGAGATATAAACAACTTGTATGCTTTCCAGATCATTTATTCCTGCATTTAGATGTTCCTGCTTAAAGCCGTGTTTAGACACATTTACGCGTGTTTATACACGTTCAGAGTTTCTTATCGTTTAGAGCTTCTAATTCAGTTAAGCTGAATGCAGGTAAATGCAAAATCCGATTGATGCTATTAAAAATCAATTACATGCATTTATATACATTTAGAAATGTGCTCTAAATGCAAATAAATGCAGATTTGGGACTGCCGGTGTGAATGAGGCCTAAGATAACTTATTACAATTCAAGGAGGTAAAATAGGAATAATTGCCCCATTTAAGCATGATTCATAGGGGTCTATTCACTAAGCTGCCGAAGGATCTAGACGTAGCTTTGGCTGATCCTTTGGCCCCAGGACCCCTTCAGTACAGTAGAATATTCATTATAGCCCATACAGCTCCCAAAGATGGCCGAGGGGCTCAGTCGAGCCGAAGGCATATGTTTCGGCTCGACTGAGCCGAGGTGAAAGCCGAAGCTGGCCAAACGGCCGGCCATTAGCCGGCCGAGAGCCTGCTACTAACTGCTGGGCGGAGCCAGCCGTCATCTCATGGCTGGCTCCAGCCACTTGCACAGACAGATCAGCCTCCCTAGTTATCAGGTAACCAGGGAGGCTGATCTCCAGACAGCCCAACTATCCCGGACGCTCCGGCAGTCTCCCACTAGTAGATAGCGGCTCCCGGCCACCCTGGAGAGAAACACTCCGGGAAAGTTTTACTCTGCTCAATCGAGCAGAGTAAAACTTTCCCTGCTCTGCTTTCTGGGGGGAAAAAACAGCATAGGAATGTATAGCTACATTCATATTGGCTATTTCAGTTGGGCGGAGCTAGCTGTCACTGCTAGCTCCGCCCAAACGTTTTCCATTTTGTTTTCTACTTTTTTTAAACTATTTTTCTATTCTGCTCGGTACCACATATGTGGCGGCATTCGGCTCGGCTATTCACTCACTGCTGTTCGGCATCTATGGGTCGGCTGATTTCAGCCAATATACGGCTGAAATTAGCCGTACAATCCGGAAGTGAATAGCCGAACAGCGTTCGGCTCATTTCACTTCGGGTCGTTTATTCACTCGGCTGCCTACGGCCGCTTAGTGAATAGACCCCATAGTCTTTAAGCCATGCAAGTCAATTAGTTTAAATTCTTAAAGTGGATCTTGCATTTAAAATGCAAGGACAGCTTTTTAAATGTGCCCTTTCTTCCTTGCTAAAACACTGAATAAAAGTGGAAAAAACACTTGTAGGGGATATTTCCTCCGGCTGAGAAGATGCTCCCGGCATTGTGCTGCAGCATCTTCTCGATGGATATTGTTGGCAGGATGATGACGTCACTCCCATACCACAAAAACCAGATGAAAGGTGAGTGCAATATCTAACTTTTTTCCCTAGTGGTGTCTTTTTATAAACCTTAAGTCAGCATTTTAGGTTTACAACATTTGGGCCAAATTTAGTATCAAGTGAGATAAAGGAGTGAATTAATGTAAGTGAACACAGGCTCATTTTGCACATGTGTAAATGTGGTCCTTTGTCTCTTGACATTCGAAAATATACTGAGATACAGACATGAACAAATTTGTTGGTACTCTTTCAAGAAAAAAAAAGAACCCACAATTTTCTGATTTAAAACTGATTGAAGGATTGGCATCTATCATTGTTTATTTCATATTTAATAAATATCAGACTTTGCTTTTGATTTTTGATTCAACAGAATATTTTAAATATTAAAATAAAAATCGCATAGACAAAAATGAGCGGACCCATACCTAATATTTGGTTGCATAACCTTTAAATGCAATTCCAATCTGGCTATTTTATGTTTTTCTTTTAACTATGGAGTCTTTCTTTGAGCCCACTGTAGCTCAAGAAGTGATGGATAGTTATATCAGACACTAATGTACCTGGACCTTGGAGTTCAGCCTGTATCTCTTTGAAAGCTTTTCTTGGCTCTTTGTCTACTATACCCACTATCCTTCTGTTCATTCTGAGGTCGGTTTTCCTCTTGCGGCCATGACCAGGGAGGTTGGCTACATTCCCATGGTATACAAAGAAGCATCAAGGTGCTCAGAGATGGTCCTATTGCCTTTGACATGCTATGCTATAGCTATTCATGCTATTGCCTCTCTGATCTTAGAGAACTCTTGTTTGCTTTCTCTGGTTCATGTTCAGTGGGTGCACACAATATTACTAAACAGCAGAGTGAACATTGAAGAAGTTTGAAACTAATTACAAAAAACAGTTGCAGGTTTATTCACAAAAGGGTGAAGCATTTGGAGAAGGGATGAGAAGTGAACAACCTAGGCCAAAATAGCTGATTTGGAAAATTTCTGCAATTCAGCTCACTTTCCAGTTCAGCTATGCTGTCCTAGATTGTTCACTTCTCCTGACTTTAACAAATTCTTCACCTTTTGTGAAATAACCCTTTTAGTTTGAATATCAAAGACATGCAGGCATACATGAGGCGCATGGTTTAAATGTCATCACTTCAGGAAGAATGAATGTTTCAATGAGCTGTAAGGGTACTAACAGATTTGCCCATGTCTGTAACTTTCTAATGCAGAAAATGATCTCCTATTATAAATAATTTAGAGGTGTAATAGTTTCTACAAAGCACGTGCAAACTGGAACTAGAAAGGATAACATTATAAACTTTTGAAAGTTAAACGGACACCAAAAAATACCTGCTATAGCCTTTGTCAGCCACTACTAGTTTTTTTATAGCATGCAAAAATGCAAAT